TACACAATAATACTGTACAAAACTAATTTTAATATATAGGGTATCCTTTATTATTTATAACTCATTGTGATCGTTGTGGCATTGATTTTATTAATATTTTTTTAAAATTTGGTTGAATTTATCCACGCCCTTTGTAGTATCAGTTTTAATTGATTTTTGTTCGATATTGCAAATAACTGTAATATCCTTTTTAATCCCTGCTAAATATGCTCTATTATGTAATATTTAAATCAGGAAATTGCGGTAATGTTTGGATCTCTTTAGGACAATTATACAAAAGCCATTCAGGTGCCACTCTGGATCATTGTCTCCATAAAACATAAACAAATTTAATATTCCCAACTTTTTTTGCACTATCCTTCAAATTCTTTTTTAAAGTGCTTAAATAAACCCACTTGTCCATAATTCCACCTATGAATTCCAAATTTCTAACTCTACGTGCCGAAACACAGCCCCAGATCATGACACAATTACCTCTGGAGGATGGTAGGTGATCGATAGGTGTTCAAAATCACAGTTCTTGTTACGTTTTTATTTTTTATGCTATTCCTTCTTCGCTGGAGGATCACTCGCGAATGACTTTTTCCTGTCGTGACCGATTCCTGAAAGCGTTATTTTTGCATGGTGAATTGAATAACCAATGCGTGCTTTGAAATAGAATGCGTTTATTGCGTATCGCGTGAGTAGCTTGGTTAGATGTCTACGGTGTGACTCTCTAAGCAAGACTGACTTTCCGACGAGGAAAGCCCCTTTTTCTAACTGTTACCAAATGTGCCTCGCCAAGGGCCTCGAGGGTTGGTTCACGATGCACGTGGCGTCGTACTCCCCGGGCCCGATATCGCCTACTCCGGTTACTATAAACATTCAGTCCGGCCGCCCGAATGCCCGACTTGACAGCGCCTTAGAATTCCCTTACATTTTATTCCTCCGATTGGCCGAACGCTAGTTGCTAGTCAATCAGCGTGTTTCTAAATTCATCAACAATCATCTTTTCGCACGGGGAACGTGCACTGTTTGGCAACGCAGTGATCCTCCAGGCCGGGACGACTACATGACGCGGTCGGTATCAGCTCTTCGGAGTTACGCGGTTTAAACCATCCGCTGTGTTATTGAGGCCGTAGACGAAAGTTTTTGAAGAACAAAACATGCTAGTCGAAGTCGAAAAAACTAAGAACGGCTTTCTCAAAAATAGCTTTGTTGAAGCGCGTGTCATAAACCACGTTGGCCGTTTGCGCGCCAACTGTTTCCACACTGTGCGCGGCTGGTCGCTACACCTTCATGCTTCTTGGTCCAGTTTAAATTTTTTATTCACCACTCTTCGTTTGACTTCCGCCAAATTTTAATTTTTCCATCTGACCAAAACATATTAGTCTTACTCTCATTGATGAAAATAACATTCTTTCAAAAGTTATAGTCTTTACTATTGTACTCCTGTGCGAATTTTAATCTTTTTTTACTATTTTTGGCATTCGTGTACGGTTTTCGTCAGGCTATGCGACTATTATAATTACATTTTCTTAATATTCCTCAAACTGTTTCGCCACTTACAGATTTTTGTAAATATTTAAAAATGTCTGCTGCAATTATTGGAGCACTCTCTTTTGAATTTATTTCATTTTTAGACCTATCCACCATCCGTCACTCTCTGTTAGTTTTTTCTGTGGACTAATTTTCACTTTATTCTTTAAGCGGTTTTCTTTTTTAAAACGCTTCATTATATATTGAACTGTTGAAACACTTCTGTTCATTATTTTTGCAATGTCTTTATAAGACATTCCATTTTTCATATACTGAATTACAAGTTCACGCTTTGCAATTGTTGTTTGTCTCATATTTCAATTATTTTTATGAAAATCGTCTGACAACTGTACGTGAGAACAAATGTACTCTCAACGTGTATAATAAATTGAAGAAACAGATGGACAACAAAAGATCGCGTCAAGCATAAACATAAAACGTATTCAAATAAACGCAGGAAAATTCAGATGTACGATTTTGAATGTGAGGTTAATTTTCACCATATTTTAGTTTTAGTTGCTTTTGTTGCGACCTCATTAGGACGCAACGAAGCCTCGGTCTAGCGGATTATCGTCATAAAATGTGTCGATCACATTTGACCGCCAGACTGAGGTGCAGAACATCTTTCGACCAACCTAGACCTCCCTTGGACTAACCAGCGCCGTAAACGTCGTAAAACAGTACTGCTTTCGGTACCGACAATTTTCATTAACAAATTCCATTCCCCAAAAGTGGCTCCATCCAGGATCACCCCTTCTCCAAAGAAACGCGCTAAAGGCGCACGGAGAAAATGGTCACGATCATTTAGGCACGCTGATTGGTGATTTCTAACATCTTGAATCGATCAATCAGCGTGCATGACATTCGACGTAACTGGTGAAAAGTTCAATATAAGGACTAGTTCCAAGGCAGTTCGAGACAGTATTCAAAGATACTTAAAGCAATAACAGGTAAAGGCACAAGGCATTCCACTTTCATTCTACATTCTAATACAAAAGTTTCATTAATTAAAAGCTACAATGAAAACTTAATTAATAACTATGACGTATTAAGTCACGACAATCACTTGATTGAACTTACAGGTACGTACGACTTAAATCGTATCCCATACCGAGTTAGAGTCAACTTCCCTCCTGTTTATCAGTCTGAAGAACGACCCTATTCTTATAAATGGCAACCTGACTGCATTCCTACTTTATTTTCCAACTGATATTATTAGTATTTACGCTTATGACAATTTCTATTCTGTTTTTACTACCAATGCAGGATTCGTCTTCTACATTAGAGATTTTTTTAAAATTTTTCTCTATGTGTTAATATCAGAGGCGCGCTCGTGTAGTCGCAACGTGATCTGGACAAAGACTAACTGTCGAACAAAACACGAGCACTGGCACGAGCGGGCACCGCTCACGCCACAGACAAAAGACGCACCCAAGTCCCGAATCGCCATCAGGATTAACGAGAATCTCTCTCGTTACAACACTCTACACTCACTACAATCACTTATGCGATTAACAAACGTTAATCTAAAATACATTATTGTAGATAGTAACATAGACGAATATGTTGGTAAATTGGTGTGGAGTTAATAGACACTACAACTCTTACCAAGGCAAAAAATAATAAAAAACAAAAGTTCGAGACAGTATTCAAAGGCATACATATGTAGTATAGACCAGAGATGGGGAACCTGCGGCCTTATTTATCTTTGTACTACGGTAAAAGAATGTGATTTATTAGATGAGGAATTTTGTAGAAATGCTGCGTTTTTGTGTGATATTATGGCAAAGCAAAATGAACTAAATATTTCTTTGCAAAGTAAAACAAGACATATATGTATGTGACATGTGGAAAAAATTCAGGTATTTCGAAAAAATTAATTTTTTTCAAAATTCTTTTCTCTAAATCATTTTCTTAAATGAGCAGAAATATGTTGTACCTATATGAAACTTTCAATAACTATATAGCTGTATTGGACATGCTAATTGAAGAATACCATGGATAGATTTTCTCATTTCGAAGAACATACTTTAGCAATGAAATTGGCGTATGAGCCACATTTAGTTGATATTTCTACGGTACCCATGGAACTGCAGATGAAATTAATTGAATTGGGAGCAGATAATATCATAAAGAATTTTTTTGATACAAAAAAAGATCCCATTGAAATATGGAAAAATGCAGTTGAATACCCATGTTTACGTAAACACGCTCGTCGTCTGCTGTCTTGCTTTGCAACTACTTACTGTTGCGAATCAACTTTTTCATACCTTACACAAATTAAAACTCATTTAAGGACTCAGATATCTGATATTCATTTAGAAGACCAACTCAAGCTGTGTACAACTAAACTGGTGCCTAAAATTCTTTATTACTTAATTACTTTATTCATATTAAATTATTTTTTAAAATAATACAGTTCTTTTTCTATTTATTCATGAATAATACACAGAGTGAATGTAAAATAACTACAATAAATTTTCATTTCAATAACAATTTGGAAAGTTATTTATTATCTTTATAATTATATTTTTTAAATTTTGTATTGATATAAAATGTAGATGAATGTATTATTATGAAGATATTGTAAATTAGTATGTTTTACTTCGTAAGTAGTGTGGTTCGAAAGATCGATGTGGCCTTTCCACTATTTCAGAAAATGAATATGGCCTTTCATATAAAAAAGGTTCCCCATCCCTGGTATAGACAGTACACAAATACAGTTCACAAGCAGTCCACACATTTATTCGTCACATAACATTCATACGTATAACTCCATCAGTCGAGTCTCATTAACATTCACTTTTGTAAATAGTTTGTTAATAAATTTTTATATATTAAAACACACACACACATTCATTCATCATACCCTGAAACAGGCTTCGCTGACTGTGAAAAGTCAAACAAGCCAACCAGCAAATTCACGAAGAGCTTCGTTTCTTAACCCTTTCGCTACGGCAGATTTTAATGCGTAACGTGGGCGACTGACGATAAATTTTTAACCACGGCTGCAAAATTTGTTATTCTGGCCGTATCGTTTTAAAATTCGGTTTATTAAATTAAGATGAGAGTGCGTAAAGGATGAAATTAAGTATTAAGTTAAGATGAAAATGGACCAAAAGACTCCGACAATATAGTGCGAGCAAATTTTCAAAACGCCTATAGGCGCCAATAGTAACGAAAGGGTTAATATACAACGAAAATTTAATCTTTGTACGTGCTGGTACAACTGTTTTGTAATAAAAAATAATTTCAATTCTTTTATTTTCTGTAGAAGTTATGAAAATATGTTAAACTAGAAGTTAGTAATTCAGTTTTTGTCAAAATCCCTATCGTACTACTAAATTTATTGTTAGCTAGAATATCCGTCGATACTAAAATATCAAATATCCGAAAATATCCGTGAACGACTGTATATCGTTTAAAAGGATGCATAAGAAATGCATGAAATATTAATTGTGAGTTATTTCATCTTGATTTAGCACAATTTGGAGCATGGACATTTGGACCACCTCATGGTTTTGCCAGAATCGTTCGTTGGAATGTAGAAAAGTCTCCCGAACGATTGCCCAGCGGCGATGTTGAAGCGATTTTCTCAATTATGGACAGCGAATTCACCCGGTCAATGTGGAATTATCCCTTTAAATTAACATATAGACTAATTCTTCGAGAGAAGGAATTACATTTCAATATCGGTATATACAATCCCAGCAAAGATCATACATTTAGTTTTAATCTGTTACTGCACACCTACTTTAAAGTGCCAGATGTTAGAAGATGCCAGATTACTGGCCTCCATGGGTGCACGTTTATCGACAAGGTATAATCACTATAATACTCAATTATTCCCGTATTATTTAGATAAGGTGAATAAATAAGTGTATTTCCACAAGCATTTAACGAATAAAATATTTATTTACAGACAAGAGACAACCAAATTTTTCAAGAGGGTCGCGATGTGGTAACAGTGTGTGAATGGACAGATAGAATTTATCAGAATACGCAACCGGAACACATCATTACTAACGTTGTATCCGGCAGAAAAATGCGAGTACAGAAGTACAATTTCCCTGACACGGTGGTTTGGAATCCTTGGCAAGAAAAAGCTCGCGATATACCTGACTTTGGTGATGATGAATTTCCGAACATGATATGCGTGGAAAGTGGACACGTTAGCAGTCCAGTTATATTACTTCCTGGAACAGCTTTCGAAGCCAGTCAAATTTTACAGGTATAGTGTATTTGCATACTTTTCAAATTAACAGATTTAGTAAAATTCTTATCAATTCAGATTCACGCTCTCAGAATAATTTTAATGATATTAACAAAGTATTTACGGTATCAAATTTTTAGAAAATTTTCATTTGAAAACTTGATTGTATTGTCAGCCATTAATATTTATAAATTATTGTTCAAACATACACTTCATACACCTTGTTAAACGCGTCTTGAAATGGATAGTAAACTGAATAATAGAAATACATATATACATGCACTACCGGCCAAAAGTTTGGAATCACTCTGCATTGCAAGTTGCACAAAAATTCCCCCCTCCCCATTTATAATAATTTTTTAACGAATTTTTTATCATTCAAATCAATCGAAATGAGGTAAAGTGCTATTGATCTCCACAACATAAATTTATAAATTTCAAATCGCTCGAACTTCGTTAAATTTGCACGTAGTATACCACCGACTAATTGTAAGAATTGAATGTAACTATTAGGTTGTCCGGAAATAAATTGCGGTTTCTGTACATAAGATTTAAACACGTGTAATTTTTCTTAGAATGAATTTATTTAATCGAAATAATTTCCATTAGAATTTGTAAACTTTTTCCAACGTTTTACAAGAGTTTCTATTCCATTACAATAACAATCAGGAGTTCTAGAATTAATAAATTCCACGAAGGTATTTACAACATCCTCTTGTTTACAGAAAATTTTTTCTCGCAAAAAGTTATCCAAATGTTTAAAAAAATGGTAATCTGTAGGGGAATAAGGAGGGTGTGTCAATGTTTCATAACCCAATTCGTCTATCTTCCGAATCGTGAATTGTAATACGTGCGGAAGGGCGGGCGTTATCGTGTAGGAGTATTGGTCCCTTACGATTTACCAAACTTGGTTGTATAACAAATAACTTTTTATGCATTTCTTCCAGTTCCTTACAATATCTTTCTGAAGTAATAGTTTCATTATTATTTAGGAAGTTGTAGTGAATAACACCTGCTTTTGACCACCAAACTGTCACCATAACTTTCTTTTGGTGTAACTTTGGTTTCCGGAAGTGCTTTGGAGCTTCGTCGTAGTCTAGCCACTGAACTGAACGACGGCGATTATCATACAGGATCCACTTCTCATCGCACGTTATTATTCGATGAAGAAATGGTTCACTTTCGTTTCGCTTAAGGAGTGCAGAGCAAATTTCGAATCGACGACTTTTCTGCCCTTCGTTGAGTTCATGGGGAATCCATTTATCAAGCTTTTCCGATTTTCCAATTTCCTTCAAGTGATTAGATACAATTGTTTTACTTACATTTAGATTTTCTGCAAGTTCTCTCACAGTTGTACACGGGTCATCTTCGACATATGCTTTCCTTCTTTATCTTCGAGACTTTCATCACCACCGCGAAATATTTTAAACCAATGTTGAACAGTACGTTCACTAGTTGTGCTTTCACCGAACACATGATTGATATTGCGGGCAGTTTCCGCGGCTTTACGTCCTAATTTAAATTCATATAGAAATATGGTACGAATTTGCTTCTTGTCCATTGTTACGTTTTTATGATATACTCGGAACAAATGACGGTAAAAAACAAAAGTGTATCGCTTATATGATAGAGCGACATCTACGCGTTCAAACGGTATATTACTTAATAAACATAAATTTAAAATATATAGTATAGAAAAGCCCTAAATATATGACATAACAGAAAACCGCAATTTATTTCCGGACAACCTAATACATATATGTATATACTATGACAAAAAATAAAGGGTCACACAAGTTTGAGGTCTTGATCAAATTTGACATGTTCGACTAAACGATATACCTACAACTAACAACAAGAACTAGGTTTTGTTCGAGTGCTGTTGTCCAACTACCCTGGTAGCTTGCAAACTACATGTATCTTCGTACTAAAAGTAATTACACACTGATTGGTTGTTGCTAAAAATTTTCTTAGAAAGGGTGCAGCAAAATCTAGCCCGCATTAAAATGAGCAGAAGTTCGACAACAGTACGGAATATCCTTCAGGATTGATCTTCCAAACAAATGTTAATTTTCCCTTCGAAAAGTCCACCTTTTATCGTAATAAAAGGTTAGGTATGTATACACGTACATATGTATGCAGTTATTGAGGACGAGGGAAATGAATTTCTCAAACACTGACCAATAAAATAATTACTCTTGTCAGAATATATTTCGAAATATGCTGATAATAAATGGAAATATTTTCGACTCAAAAATAGCTCTTCTCCGTAATCGTCTTATAAAATGTGCCAACGGAAGTCCAAACAGTAAGAATAAAGAGAAAACTACATATTGTTTCCATATGTGACAAAGGATATTTTTTGCGAGAAAGTTCGTAGTAGCAATAGTAGCAAAAATTTCAAAACATGTGCGGATGTGCTTTAACAAAATGTCGAGACACTTCATAAATTGCTATTCAGAAACTTAAAATGAAACAATTTACCGTTCATTAAGGAGAATCAGCTTGAAGGCGAAGGAAAAGAAGCATAAGTCAGTCCTTTCCAATAAAACTGTTATGTAAATAAAAATAATCTACCGCCGGTTATACAATCTATTAATTACAAGAAGAAGACAGCTTATTTCAAAAAGACAATAACACGAAAGATACATACAGCAAAAGTAGTAAAATGCTTACAAACCAAAAATTTTCTCTATTAGAATAACCAGCTGAAAGTTCTGATTATGTATATGTACATACTTATGTACATATGTACGCCCAATAGAAAATATCTTGCCGATTATAAAAGAAAGATTGGTAAAATATGTACAAAAATCCGTCATTAAGTGTTCACGACCTGTGGACAAGAACGTAACGAGAATGGTACAATGTTAAGCCAGAAATTATTCATAATTTAATAGAAAGAAACCAAGAAGATTGAAAGCAGTAGCAAACAATAAAGACAAAGGATAATATATATAATACTTAATACATAAATTAAATACATTGTACAGTAATATCTTTCACATTGTCGCTCTGGTCGGAACCGAACGGCGACAGTTCGGGTAGAGGAGACATGGTTTTCGGGGGTCGCAGCCCGCCTTTGTAGTTTGCCGAACAAAGACAAGAACAACGAATAAAAGATAAGGATGAAACGAGGGTCCAGGCAACCGAGCGATTTAAACACCAGCGTTTTTCTGTATGAACAAGTTAATAACATATTGATGAGATTGTTCTGATCAAAATGAGACCAAACACGATATAATTTTAACATTTACTTATTAATACTTGAGTGGTTAATTTCATTTTATAATAATCGCTTTGAATGTATTACAAAAACAGATTGCTAGAAAAATACATCAAATATCTGTACAAACTGTTTACTTTATACTTTTTTGTCGAGTGTATTTACGTAACCTGTGCCAAGAATTTTATGATTCACTGTATTTAGTATGAAACAAAAAAATATCCTTTTGTTTGTTTATTTCTTTAAAGTTACTCCACTTTGTGGTTATTAGCTAACCACATTATATTACAATACATTATTTATCGTGATTTACATTATACATATAGGATGCCTCAGCGGAAGGAGGCCACCTAAATATCTCTTGTTTTTAATGACATGAAAAATATTTATAGTACAATTTGAATGATTTTGAAAGAGGAATATCATGGAAGACAAATTTTTTTGTTAGTTTTTTCAAGGTCATCGGTATTTCTTATCCGGGAAGCCTGTAGTTTTTTCTATTGCATCTTGTAGAGGATGAAAAAATATATTTAAGTATACCTGAATCATGACCTTCAGATGACCTTGAATACCAAAATTGTAATGACATTGTAAGACAATGTTAGGATGGTATGTGAACTTACAAGATGTGTGTAATAGAAAAAAATACACGCTTCCCCGATAAAAAATACCGATGACCTTGAAAAAGCTAACAAAAAAATGACTCGACAAAAACATTTGTCTATCGTGGTATTCCTCTTTTTAAATTATTCAAATTATACCATAAAAGTTTTTCATGCCATTAAAAACAAAGGAGATATTTAGATGGCCTCCTTTAGTTTAGACACCCTGTATAATAATATAGAGCATATTGTGATCGCGGAATATAATGGTAAATGCATGATAAAGATAGGCTTATTTAGCCGTATTATAATCTGTTATACAGGGTGAGGCACCTAACTTGAGAACTTTAAATTACTTGCTGTACACATGTAAGAAAATGTCTCAAACAAAAGTTGCACAACAACGAGCATAGTGTTCGAGAGACTGTTTCCAAATCGTTGGATTGTGCGGGGCAGTAACATGTCAGCCAGGTCGCCCACCAGATCTAACGCCGCTTAATTATTTTCATTGAAGGAACTGAAAAATTAGGTTTATCGCTTTTAACCAACAATCATCGAAGATATACGGGAACATGCCCTTACTGCATTCGCTCATTATCCGATTACCGCATTGGTTGTAATGGATAACAATTGGAACTCCATTTGAAATAAAACTTATTTTATTAATGTATCAGTAATTGTTAACTTTACACCCTACTTCGTATGATACCTTTTTACACAGTGTTTGATACTTCATCGAAATTCGGGAAAAAATATTGGACATCTCATTTAAAAAACTGAAGGTGATATTTCGATAAAAATGTAAGATAATAACAGGCCTGCGATACAGATGTTTTATTGCCCTTTGTTTAAGGACACGACTGCTAGGACCCACGGATTTCGGGAGAGGAAGATTTTCTTTCGTAGAAAGTAAAAACTTTCCTCTCACGGTTCTGTCCGCTACAAGGACATTGTATTCGTCTTGAAACGCTCTATCAGAATGTAAATGAAAAACCATATCATTCCATTTAAAAAGAATGGGTTGACCTTCATATCTTCTCTATGCTTCCACGTACAAAAAAGATTATTGACATCAGATTATGTGCCCCTCGAAACGCAAGTTTGGTCTGATGCATTTTTCTCTATCATCAAAAGCAAGCGAGTTATTCAGATGACCTGTTTTAAATTCCCCACCCTGTATATGGGTATAT